GGCAGCGAGGGGCTGCCTTTAATTTGGGATCAGAGGCGGCGAGGGGGGGATTTCTTGGAGGTGTGGTGGGGGGAAGATTTCTGGTAAACGCTAGGGGTGCTGGTTTGCTAGCGCCAAACCCCTCGTGCCATTGGGAAGGAAAATTAAAACCGATCTTTTTTTTTTTTTAAAGGATGTGGGAGTGGGTTAAAAATAGTGAATAGGCCTAGTTATTGCTATTCAGGCTCCTCTCCTCGGTTAGGAGACCGCCCCGGTACCGGCTGCGAGGAAATACAATAAAATAAACCAGAGATGGGGATTGGAAAGGAGGAATAAAATTTAAGTAGAGGGGAAGGTAAATTTTAGAGTTGCTGCCTGCGCCCCAGCAAAGCGTGGGTGCCGGTTCCTGGAGGTGGGAGACGCTCCGCGCTGCGCGGAAGGCGCCTGGGCTTCGCTCCGCGGCTTTGGCTGGAAACCCGCGTTTGGTTTAGCCGTGTAAAATGGTTTGGGGACTGTCCTGAGTGCGCTTGTGTTTGTTTCTTAAAATACGTCTTCGTTTTTCTGTTTATCTGGGAATTCTACGTTTTATCAGGAAAAGCGACTGTTCACCTGAAAGTGCCCGGGAAATCTCGGGGCTTGGCGTGTCCGGGGAGCCACGGGGCGGCCACCCCTGGCCCAAACTGCTTCGGGTGGAAAAAAGATGCAGGAGTTTGTGAAATATAGCTAAGGTGTCTCTCAGGAATTTTAATGTAGGGGAAACGCAGCTTTTCTCCGCGAGCCTCTCTGCTGTGGCATTTAAATGCAATTAATTCGGGGGATGCTTGACCAAAAACATGTTCTGCCTTTTGAAATACAAAAACAAAAAGGCGGGAGGGGGGGGGGGGGAGGATGCTCTACTTTTAATCTCTCGGGCAACTGTAATTTTAAACGAAATCTCAACATGATGCTACCCTCATTAGTTCCGAATGAAGGTTCATTACCTAGACAGTATGAATATTTTATTGCTTTATATCCCTTTTTCGGAAATGAAACGCCTTTGATCTTTTTCTCGGGTTGTAAAAAGAATTGCCTGTCATTAAAAAAAAAACCTGTCGTCCCATCTGCCTTTACATTCTGTATTTCTTTTCATCTGTTTCTTTCCTTTTTTTTCCATCATTTATCCGCACACGCACGTATAAACCCAAGCCTTGGTTGACCTCCAAGAACGAAAAATGGATGAAATCTTGGCGCCGCGAATAGAGAAAAATTGCGAGGGTTTCGGGGCGGAGGGGGCCGGAGCTACGGGATTTTGCTTTTAAACGGCGATTATTTGGATCCGAGTCTCGTTGTGCCTCTATACTTATATATTCAGTCCAGGAGCTGATTTATTTTATTTAGTTGGGGGGTTTTTGTTTGTTTGTTTGTTGGGGTTTTTTTGGTTTTTTGTTTTTTTGTTTTTTTTTTTAGCACGGCGCTAAACTAACGCAGAAGGCACGGGGGGGAAGGTGGGAAAGTTCTAGTTTTTGGAATCTCGTATCGGCTATTCGGGTACCGAGCTGGTGCTTTAATTAATGGTCTTTCCTCTGAAGGGTGAATCTTTTAACCGTCTGTAGATTAATTCTTGATCTCTCGAGTCACAAAACTTCGCCCCCCCCGCCCCCCTGGCCCAGAAGATAATTATGGCGGTAGGCGAAGATGTCTGACCAAGGAGGACGCATCTGTCTTCTATATGTACCCTGTAGATCCGAATTTGTGTAGAGGAAGTTGGGTCACAAATTCGTATCTAGGGGAATATGTAGTTGACACAAACACTACAGGTCACAGTCCCAGAAGGCATTAAAACCACCCCACCCCACCCCAAAAAAGCCACCCACACCCCCAGAAGCCTAACTAAAAGGGTGAAAACAAGGGCTTAACCAGAAAACCGTTTTATAGCTGGAAAGAAATACTTTGGATTTGACCTTAGCTCAACTCCAGCGCTCCTGCGATAAACTTTATCGTCACTTCGAGATCATTTTTTGACGGCGGGGGGCGGGGGGGGGGATCAGGGGTATTACTGCGATTTGAGAGCGGGGATCCCGCTATTGCTTTAGTTTGTGCGATCTCAGCACTGGCACCGAAAAAAAAAATATATATACATCTTGCTTTCCTGCCGCTTGTGCGGAGCTTATTGCGCGCTTCAGGGTTGAACGCGAATCTGAGGGATTAGGGGTGGGTTTTGAAGGGCTGCTGCTTTGCTCCGGCTTTTAAAGCGTCTTTATTACGAGAAGGGCGCGGCGAAGATGCATTAGGACTTGGGCTAATTCGCTTTTGTAATTGTTCATCAAGTCCTTGATTTCTTGCTTGGAGGACGGGCTCCTTTTTCCATCGGTGCGTGGGAAAACGGTCAATCTCAGCGCGCAGCTACATGTGATTTAGGAGACCGGGTACCCCGAATTAGCTGATGAATTTCCTATCGATCCCAAACGAGCCCTATCCATCTCTGCCAGGCTCGGGGCGCGATGTCCCTTCCCGTAGCACCTTAGGAGGGAAGGAGACGCGGCCACCGCCCGCCGGGACCGCCTTGGCTCCCGC